TGGTGCAACAAATTTTGGAAAAAAAATTTTTGGTCAAAAAAATTTTGGAAAAAAAATTTTTGGTCAAAAAAATTTTGGGAAAAAAAAATTGGTAAAAATTTTGGGGAAAAAATGTAGGAAAAAATTTTGGGCAAAAAAATTTTTGAAAAATATTTTTGTAAAAAAAATTTTTGGAAAAAAATTTGGGTATATAATTTTGGTAAAAAAATTTTTGATCAAAAAAATTTTAGGAAAAAATTTTGGAAAAAAAAATTTGGGAAGAAAATTTTGGTTAAAAAATTTTGGTCAAAAAAATTTTGCGGAAAAAATTTTGGGGAAAAAAATTTGGAAAAAAATTAGGAAAACAAATTGGAAAAAAAATTTTGGGAACAAAAAAATTTTTGGTCAAAAAAATTTTGGTCAAAAAAATTTTGGTCCAACAAATTTTGGAAAAAAAAATTTGGTCAAAAAGTTTTGGTCAAAAAATTTTTTGGTCAAAAAAATTTTGGCCCAAAAAATTTTGGTCCAACAAATTTTGGGAAAAAAAATTTTGGTCAAAAAAATTTTTGGTCAAAAAATTTTTTTTTTGTCAAAAAAATTTTTGGTTAAAAAAATTTTTGGTCAAAAAATGTTGATCAAAAAAATTTTGGTCAAAAAAATTTTGTTCAAAAAATTTTGGTTCAACAAATTTTGGGAAAAAAATTTTTAGTCAAAAAAATTTTGGTCAAAAAAATTTTGGTCAAAAAAATTTTTGGTCGAAAAAATTTTGGTCGAAAAAATTTTGGTCAAAAAAATTTTGGTCAAAAAGATTTTGGTCAAAAAAATTTTGGTTAAAAAAATTTTTGGTCAAAAAAATTTTGGTTTAAAAAATTTTGGAAAAAAATTTTTGGTCAAAAAAATTTTGTCAAAAAAATTTTTGGTCAAAAAAAATTTGGTCAAAAAAATTTTGGTGCAACAAATTTTGGGAAAAAAATTTTTTTTTTCAGAATTGGCGAGTGTCCCCATAACGCTCAAATTTATTTATACATTAACTTAAGTATTACAGGCAGTACTGCACAGCGTGCGCTTTGCGTCGTAAAAAATATATAACTTGCTATCCAAAAATTTTTTTTCCCAAAAATTTTTTCCCCAAAATTTTTCCCAAAAATTTTTTTTCCACAAAAATTTTTCTCTTCAATTTTTTTTCAAAAAAATTTTCCCCCAAAAATTTTTTCCAAAAAATTTTTTTCCCCAAAAATTTTTTTTCTCAAAAATTTTTTCCTCAAAATTTTTTTCCCCAAAAAGTTTTTTCCCCAAACATTTTTTACAAAAAAATTTTTTTCCTAAAATTTTTCCTAAAAAATTTTTTTCCCCAAAAATTTTTTCTCTTCAATTTTTTTTTTCAAAAAATTTTTTTCTCCAAAAATTTATTTCCCCAAACATTTTTTCCAAAAAATTGTAAAAAATATATAACTTGCCATCAGTACAGCACAGCGAGTTTCCTTAAACATTTTTTTCCAAAAAAAATTTTTCTCCATAAATTTTTTTCCAAAAAATTTTTTAGAAAATCATGGCAACGATTATGCTGCTATTTTAGTAAAATAATTTTGCTATTTTCGTTGCCATGACAAAGTCAAAAGTCAATGTCAGAAAAAAATATATATTTTTCACTCTCAATTATTGAATTATTAAATCAATAAAATTCATTAATTTTATTAAAAAATTTTTGGAAAAATATTTTGGAAAAAAAAATTGAGAAAAAAAAATTTGGTAAAAAAAATTTGGGAAAAAAATTTTGAGAAAAAAATGTGTGAAAAAAAATTGAAAAAAAAAGTTTTTTGAAAAAAAAATTGGGGGTCAATTTTCAAACATGTCAAAATAAAACTATATTTTTCACTCAATTCAATTTTATTAAATCAATAAAATTTATCAATTTTAATGAAAATTTTTGAAAAAAAAAATTGGAAAAAAATTTTGGGAAAAAAAAATTGTTCCAAATTTTTGGTAAGAAAAAATTTGGTAACAATATTTTTTTCCCCAAAATTTTTTTCCCACAATTTTTTTCTTAAATTTTTTCATTAAAATTGATAAATTTTATTGATTATTATATAGATAGAATATAAAGACTTATTGGTCCCCAATTTTTTCTTTCAAAAAACTTTTTTTTTCAATTTTTTTTCCCACAATTTTTCCTCAATTTTTTTTCCCAAAATTTTTTTACCAAAAATTTGTTTTCCCAAAATATTTTTCCCAATTTTTTTTTCCCAAAATTTTTTCCCAATTTTTTTTCCTCAGAAATTTTTATTAAAATTGATAAATTTTATTGATTTAATAAAATTGAATTGTAACCAATCAATATATACATAATAATAAGTATTATAATTTTACAATTATAAGTAACTAAAAAAAGTTTTCACAATGGTATGATAAATTTACAAGGAACGATCAATATGAATTACTGAATGATCAATAATATATAACAACTAGACAGAGATTGTGTAGAAGCATTTACAATAAAATGTTAAACTTAAAAGGAACTATCAATATGAATTACTTAATGCTCAATAACATATAACAACTAGACAGAGCTTTTGTAGAAGCATTTACAATAAGCCTTTATAAGCATACATTTTATACAAAAATAGTCAAAAATTATAAAACAATAATAAAAAAAACTTTAGTATCGTCTAAAAAGTATTGATTTATGATTATATGATTTAAGCAATGAATTTAATTATATGATTTAAGCTAATGGTGCATTGGAACTTTCCGTACTGAAAATTAAAATTAAAAAAAAAAATGAGATTTTTGAAAAATTTAGTTTTGACTTATTTGTCGAAGCAATCGCGCTACTTAGATGTTTTAGAAATGAGAAATAGAAGCGCGTAAGCGCCGCGTTAAAGTCTAACGGATAAACATAAGTATGGACCATAGATAAATAAGCCAAGAGGAACCAATAAGGAGCCATACTCTTCTTTTATCTATGTATAGAACCTAATGAAATGTAAACAAAATATCAAAATCTCTATAAAATATCTGATAATTTTATGTGCATATGTCTAATGATCAGTTTTGACCACCAAATAGCATTGTTTTTAACTTCCCGAAGGAGAAGTTTATGTTTTCATCAAAAAATCCGATTCGCTAATTTTATGTTTTCTCGACGTTTCAAGCCATTCTGAATCGAATGAGACCAAATTTGGAAAAAGTATGTGTGTGTGTGTGTGTATGTGTGTGTGTGTATGTGTGTGTGTGCGTGTATGTGAACAGATTTTTTGCCGTAAATCGACGTTTTCTCGAAAACGGCTGGACCGATTTCAAAAATTTAAAAGCCATTCGATGTATCTCGATGAGGACTATCGTTTCTGAGTTTTGTGCGGCGATCGGCCGGGCAGTTTCTTTGTAAATTGCAGAAAAGTGAAAAATTTTTCGTCCACGTTTTAGCCCGTAATTCTGAATCGATTCTGAAAATTCAAAATCCATTCGATAGATATTGGTTGGGAATCATGCTGATTAGTTTTTGGTAAAGATCGGCCGGGCCGTTTTCTTGTAATAAAGTTTTTTAAAAAAAAATTTCGACGATTTTTATGATTTTTTTTTTGACGTTAGATACCATAGTTTTCTAGGTCATACTAAAATATTACGGCCCTACGACAACTCTACGGCCCTACGGCAAAAATTGGTATCGTTTTATTGACATTTGTCAAAATGAAATCTTTGATCGACGTTTTCTCAAAAACGTCTTAACCGATTTCAGAAATTTAAAAGCCATTTGATGTATTTCGGTGAGGACTATCGTTTGTCAGTTTTGTTCGACGATCTGCCAAGCCGTTTCTTTATAATTTGAAAAAAAGTGTTAAACTTTTCGTCCACATTTAAGCTCATTCTACCGAACCGATTTTAAAAAATCAAGAACTGTTCGAAAGATATTAGTTGGGAATGGTACTGATTAGTTTTAGGTGAAAATCTACCGAGCCGTTTTCTTGTAATTAACTGTTGAAAAAAAAATTTAAGCCGATTTTTATGGATTTTTTTTTAGTGATATATACCATGGTCTTATAGAAGTTACTGAAATATTACGGCCTTACGACAAATAGTTTGATTTTAAAAATTCATCAAAGTTTGAGAAAATGAGTAGTTCTTTTGAGATTTGTTAAAATTAAAATTAGACTATTTACTTGGTATAATGATAGAGTACTTGGTCCTGAACATAATAAACCATTAAAGTCCTGAAAACTGGTTCAATTATATAAAATTTGCTTTTAGAAAATACTCCGAGTCAAAGTGTTCGTTCGTTTCAATTATGTGTAATAAATCCACTCGGAATACTTTTAATGACTCATAAATTTTTTTTTATTGATTATGTCGATTATTTAAACATATCGGGAAGTTCATGTAACTTGCCTCAAGGCTAAATACCAAACCAACTAGTTTACTTTTTTATTTGATTTACGAAAGTCCAAGGTTTTTTTGAATATTTGGAAAACAATTGTTTTGAAAAAATTTTCAACAAAAATTGAAAATTTGTTTGAAAATTTTCTCGGACTATGTTTCAAGTTATTTTCTTAATTTTTTTGTGTTATAAAATATAATATAAGAATTTTGACTAACAATGGTAAAAGGTTCTTTTGAAAATTTTGATTTTTTTTTAATTTGAAAAAAAAAATTGAAATGTGAAATTTTGTTCGAAAATTTTCTAGGATCTGTTTTTTTTTAATTATGAGAAAAAAATTTATTGAAAACTTTGAAATTTAGTTTGAAGATTTTCTCGGACTAGATTCCAATGATTTTTTGAAAATTTTTTATTCCAAAATTAAATAGAAAAATTCAAGACCAAGCCCGAACTAAAAACCTTCTGTGAATCATAGATAAATAAGCTGTGAATTCTCTATGGATAAGTAAGTATAAAAAATGGCTGCAAATTCTGAACTGTTTGCTGTTTCTGTTGGTAATCATGTTATTTAGGGTTGCCACTGTTAATTTGAATTTTTGACGTTTGGTGAAATATAGGTTAAAATGATTTATCCAAGTATCAGCAAAATACGCGATGTAATAAGTCTTACGAATGATAAGCTTATAATACATATCCAATAATCATATATGATATTATAAGCAAACCTTATTCTTGGAATAGTTCTACTGAAAATCTCAAACGCTTGTATAGACGTGACATTGCAATTAAAAATTTTTTTCAATGTCATCTTTAATTTTGAATATAATTAACTGCTGACTAGAAAATTTACTGAACGAAAAAGAAAAGCATACCTCATTGTTGATATTTGACAAAGTATGGATACGAAATTTTCTTTTTTTTTAATATTAACATGTAAGTAATAATAAAACTAGTTACATTCAAAATATTATAAATTTAAAGCAAAAATTAATTACTTGATTTTGTTTAGGCTACACTTTTGCTTTGGCCAAGTTACATACAGCACCACAAGAAATAAATTACAGCAATACTGTAATGCATGAAACTTCGCCTCAATCCCTTATAACAAATTTTTCATTCCTCGATTTTATTTTGAATAATAGCACTTCAGAACCATATATCCAAATCAATGATAATTCAACAGAGCAAGTGAAACATGTAGAGTGTGAAAAGAACTCGGGAAATGCTGCTGTGGAAATAGTTAATCGAACAGAGCTTCTGCAACTGCTGTTACCTGTTGGAAATGCAACATCTTCACATCAATCAGGACGTTGTCTATTAATATTCTTTTACGCTCCTTTCTGCCCATTCAGTTCAATGGCCGCGCCATATTTTAATGCATTGCCTAGGGTATTTCCAGACATTAAAATGGCTGCACTTGATGCAAGCTTATATCAAACATTTAATACTCAGTATGGCATAGTGGGTATACCTACTCTACTGTTGTTTCACCAGGGAAGACCCATAGCAAAATTCAATAACACTTTGTATAATTTAGAAATGTTTATACAATTTGTAACAAAGTACACAAAGATTAAACCTGTGGATAAGTACATGCTAACAACTGCAGATTTCTTTGGGCCACTTTCAAGTATTCCTGATAAAAGAGCAGATTATTTTCTCATTATATCCTGGATATTTTTGATTATATGTGCAGGATATTACTTTAGTAAATCTTCATGGTGGAAATCTATAGTAGAGGCAATCAAAAACAATTGGCGAGAGTCTGAAGCTCAACACGAGCATACAGAATAAGATTTATCATATTTACTTAAAAAAAACTATTGTTAACTTGTTTCCTTATTTATTAAATATATATAAAGAAAAATTATTAGTTTAACTCATTTTAATTCGGAGACCATTTCCTTATTTTTTAATGCTGCTAATATGTTCCGTGCTGTTATTATACACATTTCTGATCTAGTTTCAATTGTTGCGCTGCCAATATGTGGCAATATTACACAATTATTTAGTTTCAAAAGTGGACTATCTAGAGGAAGAGGTTCTGGAGTTGTTACATCAAGTCCTGCAGCTCTTATTTTTCCAGATTCTAATGCATTTATTAAGGCATCTTGATCAACCATTTGGCCTAGTAAAGAACAGTAAACATTAATGGAGAGGGGGGGAGGCTAAATTAGAATTTCAGTAATTTGAACTTGTTCATTTTCATATCAAACACACACAGTGGCGGCGCTAGACTATTCGTCGGCGTCGGCGAAATTCGTTTGCGAGGCCCCCCTTTTTTAAGGCCAATTACTAAAACTTTCCGTGCCGTAATTTAAATGTTTAAAAAATTTTTGAAAACTTTGAAAAAATTGAATTTTTTTCTAAACTGAAACATTTATTTACATCTTGAAATTTTTTGAAAATTTCGAACTTTTTTTCAAAGCAATCACGCTTCGTTACCTCCTTGAGATGAAATATAGAAGCGCAAAAACGCCGCGTTGCACTCTAACTGTTATATATTGGTACGGAACGCGTAGAAATGTAAACAAAATTTGTACTTATTACTAAAATCTTTATGAAATAACTGATAATTTGATGCACATATGCCTAATGATCATTTTTGTCCGCCAAATGGCTTTTCTTTTTCTTTTTTTAATGGATCTCCAAAACCGCTTGACCTGCCTTTCTAAAAATTTAATCAGTTTTTCATTTTCTTAATGTTTTTTAAATCATTCGAATCGGACATTTTCTCAAAGCCTGAATTACCATTTTGCCACTTTTTGCCCCGTACCTTAGAAACGATTCGTTCTGCCTTTGCCAAAAACTAATTAGCACGTCATCCATGTTAAAAAGTTAAAAAATAATAAACGAAAGGAAGGGATATATTTTTAATCAGATAATTACACAAATTGAAATAGACAAAAATTGCGCAACTTAAAATAAACAAACTCTTTGGCAAAAAAGTTCGTTCTTCAGATGTTAGTAAAACACCGAAATTAAATAATTATCTCGAAGAAGTTTCTTTTTTGCCAAATCATTCGATTAGCTAATTTTATAGTTTTTTGACTGTACAAGTCTTTATTAGAAACCACCGACTTAATCAATAACTAATTAGACAAAATTTTGCAATCTACAATTAATTAATCAGATTAAAAAATCTATAATCAAAATAATTTGAGTGCACGAATCCGCACATATTATTCTAAAATTTAAGGAATTTTTATAATTAATCACTTATTGTAGTTCCATAAAATTTATGTTAGTTTAGACTATAATTTTTATCTCTATACAGAGTTTTTTTTTAATCTACAATTAATTACGAAGAAACGGCGCGGCTGATTTTTTCGAAAAACTAATCAGCACGATCGCCAACTGAAAACTTTCGATCAGTTTTTGAGTTTTCAAAATCGGTTCAGAAATGTTAAAATGTCGGATTATTTAAGAATCTAAATTTTTGTCGGCATCAGAGCGGATCAACCGATTTAAATGATTAAAAAAACATTTGATTCCTGTTAATAAAATGGCAAAGACAGGTCTAGCGGTTTCGGAGATGCAAAAACAATTAAAATGTTACCAAATTTTAATTTGGTGATGCAGTTTTTGAAAGAACTCATCATCCGATTAGATTGTTTAAAAAATATATATCGGTTGTGTTGACAATGTGAAACAATGATTAGTTTCAAATTAATAGTATTTATAAGATTAAAAAAAAAATTAAACCATTGTTATTTCATTTCATTGATCGATTTCAATATTTAGTTACTGTTTGGATACGTTAAGATAACTACTCGTTTGTATTCCCAAATGGAATAATGATTTACATTATGCTCACATAAGAAACACACAAATATAAACATCCAGAGAATTGGCCCTTTCGCGTGAAGTTGTTTAAATTTAATAATCTATATTGTTGACAGACGATATTAGATAGTGTTCATAAAAGATAAGCGAGTAAAATGAGAGTGCCCGTGAACCACTAATCACCTTCTTTACTCGCACATCAGCATAAAAAAAAACTAAATAAAAATTAAAAACTAATCTTTAAATAATAAAATTTTTGTCGGTGCCTCTTGCGAGGAAATTAGGATTTCGATAATTTAAAAAACAATATATTTGTATTGAAAAAATGAAGAACTGATTAAATTTTTGGAAAGGCAGGCCTAGCGGTTTCCCAGTTCAAGTATAAAATGTAATAAAAAAAACATTTGGTAGTAAAAAATGATCATTAGATATATGCACATCAAATTATAAAATATTTTATAGAGATTCTGATAACTAGTATAAATTTTGTTTACATTTCTATAGGTTCAGTAAAATTTTTTATCCGTTAGACTGCGACGCGGCGCTTACGCGCTTCGATATTTTATTGCTTTGAAAAAAAGTTCAAAATATATAAAAAAATGTTCAAAAAAGTCAATCTTTTTCAAAAATTTTAAAATTCTCAAAAACCAAATTTTTTCAAGGTTTCAAAAAAATTTGAATCTTTAACACATTTAATTTTTGGTCCGGAAAGTTCTAGCAACTTGCCTTAAGGCATGATGCCTTACACCACTAGTTATTAACTACTAATCAAATTGAAACTGATAAATTTAAGCCTCAATTTTACAATAACATATTATTAACTTACCACGACTAACATTGATGAAGATAGCAGTAGATTTCATTTTACTAAATGCAATTGCATTGAATAAGCCTTTAGTCTCTGGTGTTAATGAACATAAACAAATAAGAAAATCACTCTCATTTAACAACTCATCAAACGTTACTCGTTCAGCACCAATTTCTTTTGCTTCTTCGGCTCTTGGTGAGCGATTTTGAAATATAATTCTTTTTGGTTTGAAACCTTTTATTATGGATGCAACTTGTTGAGCTATTCTTCCAAATCCGACAATCCCTACAGTTGCATTTTTTAAACCTGGACCACACATCCAAGTGGGAGCCCATGATTTCCACCCACCATTGAACACCTGTAATATTTAATAACAAGCTATTACATTAATTATTCTTCATTCATGTTTCAATTTGTGTACAATTATTTACATTTTATGTACTAAAAATATGAGCAGAAAAACTCATCATTCTAAAATACCAGCTGTTAATAAAACACATAGCAATGCCTACATACATATAGAGTACATGCAAATATAAGGCAAATATATATATATATATATATATATGATTTAGTTGTTAATTTTGATGTTGAGATATATGAGTAAGTTCTTGTGGGGCAATACATCAAAGAATAAAAAGCAAAAATTTATAAATTAATCTTTAATTCCCAACGTTTCGACATTCAATTTAATGTCATCATCAGTGAATAATATCAGTGGATTTGAAAACTTATATTTTAAGGCTTGGGTGTAAAAAATTCTAATCAATTACATGCAGTAGTTTTTGGATTTGGAAAGAATTAGGCAGCATTTTCGACGTATTTTACTCTTTTGTTATAGTAAAGGTAAAAAAACTGTTAACACAACGTCTGGGATTTTGCTCGAAACTTAAAGCATGGTTCTCATAGATAGAAACGTGTGTCGTCACACTGGCGTCGTCCGCAATTCGCCTCTGAAAATTCTTGAAAATTATCAGGTTTTGAAGCAAATTGTCACTAGAAGTTTTAAATGGGATGTAAAGAATACAATACACGCAATTGCCCATAAAAAAAACAGGTGCAAAGCTGAAATTTGACAGAAAAAGGTGAGCAGTATGTTTGGTAAGATTTTAAAGAAGATGTTCACTTTTCAGCTTTTCCAGGATAACATAACAATTAATTCGGATGCCTTATGTTATCAGCTGGATAAACTAAATGATATGCTTCAATAGAAAAGGTCAGAATTAACCCACAACAAGGTATAGTCCTGCATCAAGACGATGCAAGACCTCACATAAGTTTGGTCAATTGCCAAAAGCTTTTGAAGCTTGAATGGGACCCAATGTTACATTCATCATATTTTCCAGGCCTGCCATTATCGGACCATTATTTTGTTCCGGCCACTAAAAAAATTTTTAGACGGTAAAACCTTTACCTCAAATCAGCCTGTCACTTTGATCAGTTTTTTGCCAATAACAACCAAAACATTTATGATTTCGGAATTATGCTAATACCAGAAATATGATAAAAGATGTTCGATCAAAACTGCCAATACATAATTTATTGAAGTAATTGTTTATTGTACGAAAATTATGTGGCAAAATGTCTATAAAAAACAATGTTACTTTTCGAACAACCCAATATATATTTATCTAAAGTTCTACACTTTTCATTCTGTTAATTTTGAAATGATAGGATATTGGCAAGATAATTTGAACTAACCTTGAAACTAAAAACAATTTCCCTTATAAAACACAATATAAATATATCACTCATTTTAATAAGAAACAAAGCAATTGGGCAAAGCATACCCAGCTTTAGTATTACAAACTTTACATAAGCTGATATACTATAAATTCAAGATTCAAAGAAGCAATATATTAAATAAACTTTCTAATAGTAATTGAATTTTTGAAATTGAATTGTAAAAGAGATTATTTGGAAGTATAGATGGCAAATTATTATTGGTTCAAGTATAAATCTTTTACATATTAAAACTTACCTCTTTACTTGCTTCAATCAATCGTCTAGAAGTTGCTAATAATAGAGCCACCGTGAGCTCAGCAGTGGCATCTGTAAGAACCTCTGGTGTATATCCCACACGTATGCCTCTCTTCTTGCATTCATCAATATTGATGTGCTCAAAACCAACAGACATTGTTCCAATAACTTTAAGATTTGGCCCAGCACTATCCAAAACGTCTATGTCTATTTTGTCTGATAAAGTGCAAAAAATGGCATTCACACCTTTGACTCCATTTAAGAGGGCAGTACGTGTTGCTGGATAATGCTCTGGGAATATTGACAAGGAACATCTAAAAGCAATTTGTTATAGGAATAATTGAGTGAGAAGATTAAATAACACATATACTGATTATCAAAAAAAATTAATTGCATTAATTAGAATTAAAACTTAATGATAAATAGAACGACATTCAACATATTCCAATGTAAATCTTCTTATTTCTGAATGAAAGAAGATCAATATGGTATGTATACAAAATGATATAAAATGATGATAAAATAAATTGAAAACAGTAAGGCATCAATATTATAAATAAAAAAAGGAAAAAAGATATTTTGGCGCATTGATTTACTTCTATTTACCATTCTATATATATATATATATATATATATATCTCAGAAGTAAAATCCTGCCAATTCACATAAGTGACTGAACCTTGAAATTTACTGCTATAGAGTTTTGAATAATTTACTGTCAAAACTAAACAATATAAGAAATAATTTATAATAGTTCGTCACTTGAACATTGATTATAAATTAATATTACTCATTTCTTAACATCTGCAGTCCTTCCTCGGGTAAATCCGATCTAGTGCAATATACTTTAGGCTGGGCCATATTTGAAAAGTGCTTAATAAATTTATTTTGACGTATACCAACTCGGGTTAAGCTTTCTCTAATCAACCGGCTCATTAATGTCATTTTTTGATAAACCATTACAAACGACATTCAATAGTCGCCGAGTATTAATAGTTGGCAACTATTGGTATCGTATGTGGAATTGATAAATGAAGATTACATAATTTTCACAATCAAATCAAATCAAGAAATAGTGAAAAAATAATCAAGTCGATATATATGTGTTATATTTTCAAATCTCGTGCATGTTTCTTTTCAGTCATTGTCAGTTGGGTCTATAGTTTATTCTTATGGTACGCCGCATTCGAATTTGACATACACGATTATTTGTTTGTGTAATAAATGTTTGTTTCGCCAGAAAATTCGATTTGCTAATTTTATATTCTCTCGTTTCAAGTCATTGCAAGTCAGAAATTGCAAGATGTATGTTTCAATGTGAACCTAAATTTTAGGTTTAGTCGAAGTCATCTCCAAAAAAACGGCTGTTTCAATTTCATATGTTTAAAGTAGACTTGTAACGAATAGTATATTCGGCAAAATGCCGAATACCGAATATTCGGCAGGTTTTTGGCGCTTCGTTTGTATTAATGTAATTACCATAGATAGAAGAAGAGTAATTACCCTAGACAATATAATAATTACTATCAATAATTGTTATACTAACGCGCTACATGTTTCATTAAAGTTTTATGCCTAGACTTGCAATCACTATTCGGCTACTTTGTTAAGCGGAATATTGAGCATCATTTATACCTATGATTTATACTCTTCTTTTATCTGTGATTTATACCATATTTATACTATTCGGCCGAATACCGAATACTATAAATGGTAAAATCAAGAAAAAAGGGATTTTTTTTGCATATATGTAAATGTATATCTAATTATTTTTTTCATTAACATTTAATTTTTTTTTATGAACTCAATATTATTTTTTATATATCAGGAATGCTAATGATAATAAAAAATATTGTTTATATATTTTGTGATAAAGTGCCAATCATGTGCTAATAATAGCTCTTTATTTGAAAATGCTTAGATTGAATATAATTGTATTCACATGCGTATAACCATTGAATGATTCATATTAAATAATATAAAAATGTAATAATAAAGTATCTTGTGAATATTCAGAGAAAAGTTGTTCGCGTGTTCATTTGTAACTTCAAAAGTCGATAAAGTTCAAATTATTATATAAAAAATAACGAAATCATTTCTTCATTTTTTTTAAATTACAATATTTATTACAACTGTTAAATAATTTAACATCTTCATATATTATGAAAATTAAACACTTCCAAATACAGATCCATCGCGAGCTCTTTATTGCATAAAGGATAAAACACCAACGATGCTGTCGCTGAGCAGCGGCGGCGGCGCCTTTGATTTTAATTATGTATTCGGTGAAAATTGTCTTGAAGTTTCTAATGAAAATATGAACATACCAACGTATTAGAAAGGATACATGTCATATGATGTCTCTTTCTAATACACAATATTAAAGTAATATGTTATAATTATTATATTTCTTACTAATAAGGTATCAATAATACATTCTTCAATAATTAACTTACTGTAGAAACTAATATTTAAGATGAATGTTACGAGATGATTTGTGTTTCATCTATTGATATAGAAATATACTAAATAATAATAATCATATAATTTTATGATATAATTAGCAAACTAGTGGTGCATCGCATTGTGCCTTAAGGCAAACTTCCCATGCCGATAATTAAATATTTTCAAAAAAATTAAAATTTGTTTGAAGTGATATTATTTTTTTCAAAACTTTCAAAACCCTTCAAAATGTTTTTGAAAAATTGTATTTTTTATATTTTAAAAATTTTCAATTATATTTTTAAAATATCAAAGCGCGTTATAGTCTAAATGGTTAAACGTTATAAATCTTGGTTTCCGCATCATAGAAGTGTAAAAAAAAATTATACGAATCATTAAAATCTCTATATCTATTATATGAGGGTTAACCCTTACCACTCAGATGCCGCAGTACTGGCGGCATAATACATATTTATTTCGGAATTCGCGAGTGGAAGGGGCATTTGCATCCATTTTTTGGATTTACAAAACCGTTGAATCTGCCTTTCCAAAAATTTAATCAGGTCTTCATATTGTGTTCTCGAAATCTTCGACAAAAAATTGTATTCGCATATACATACATAAATACATGCATACACAAATACACACATACATCCAATTTGTTCTAAGGTATGCCAAAAATCTCCACAAACCTCTGAAATGTAAAGATATATAAAAATTTTCATTTTAGATTATTTTGCAATTACTATAACTTACTCTAAGTTAGTACAATACATTTTTACCTTGAACATCATACTTTTGAATACTAGGAGTTTGAGAATTTATTCTGCCGCGCTCTTATAACAATGACTCAAACCTTGAATAGCCCTTATAACATATATAACAATACCAAGATATTTTAATTGAAACAGATAACTGTGCATGCTCAGTATAAGTGTAAATGTACAATTTGCAATAGTTGCAATGGCAACTTGACCATATTAGTTTTATCATATTTTCAGCTGCAAATAATAAAAGTAACCAATATATTTAATATTTTTGTTTTATAAATGACTTTATAAACCAACTTATCAGTTATATAAATATAGTAAATTCATACATACATTAAAAACATGGTAAAAGGTATTATTTGATCATACTTTAAATATCAGTTTCATTGTTAAATATATTTTTAGAAAAATGCATTTATTTTCAGATAAATACTACATAATAAAGAATTAACAAAAAATAGACTAAATTATATACAGTTGTAGATAGCACAAATGAGCAAGACAAATATATAGAAGTCTCCAACAAATGTGTTAATTTTATCAATTAAATAACCTTATTAAATATAATATACAATTATTTTAAAATAAAAAATTTAAACATTATTTGAAAACTTTCTATTGAGAAATTTTCAAAATTTTGAATAAAACAAATTTGAGTTTTTAAGTTTATAATGAACATGCAAATATTTTCAACATCAGTAGGCCAGCCCATGCAGTTTAAATGGATTAATGTTTCAAATAATGTGTATAATAAGATATAATTATATTGTGAAATATATAATCCATATATATATATATATATATATATATATATATAAATATATATATATATATATATATAAAGAAAATTGTGTGCGTTTTGATAATTGAACTACCTCAATATTATCTGGACAACTACACAAAGTTCTAAATGAGGAACAAAACTTTACTGCACATTTTATATAAAGTAAGGGCCTACTTTGCAATTGCATTTTTGCATGCTAATATTAAAGGTGCACATGTTTAAACATTCCAATGAATCGAAGATATAAATATACTTTTTTCTTAGCTTTATTCCAATAACGTGTGTTCAAATCCAATTAGATTGTGACTAAGCTTTTAAAGATTTTTGTTGTCTTATATTGAACTGACAAATATTTACACAAGAACAACTGTTTATTATATCAAGTTGAAGGCCAATTATTTAATTGATTAATATTCATTGAAAACATGTCTTTTGCAAAGTAAAACAACAGGCGCTGTAGTGCTAAATAAAAATTGCCAAAGTTTTTTTTGACCAGTTGACCATAGTTATATATTATAGTAACATAATTTTAAATATGAGACTCATTTTACTAATATGTAAAAACAATTGTTCATTTTATTTCACGTAATCATTTAGCCAGAAGTATATTAATCTCATAACTGTTATTTAGTTAACTATGCATCACTATAGTTGGAAAACTATTATTTTGTTTACATCATTCCCATTCTGTGGTTCCTGGTGGCTTTGATGTAAGATCATATAAAACTCTTGAAATACCAGGTATAACTAGGATCTCTTTCACCATTTTTTCTAGAACCTGAATCATAATTGTATATTAATGACATTGTATACTACCATTAATTTTAAAATAATAAAAATTAAAGACTTTCTCACAAATTTCTTTCAATTTATATGAATTTTTTTTTTGCTAAATATATGTGATAAATTATTGACTATAATTATTTTAAAATTTCAAAAAATTACTATCTGACCACACACATAATTTTAACCACCCAAAGTATATATACATAATTACATACGATTATTAATTTAAAATAATATCACAATCGGATGAACTACGCACAAGTCAAAAAAAAAGCGACCGTCGGAATAAAAAACTTTGATATCTTTGAATATTTTAAATGTAGTAAAAATCTAAATAGAAGATAAGAGTTGTTCATACTGAACAGAAATCTATGTAAGACTGTAAAAATTTTAAGTAAATCTGTGCAGAAAACACGTTGAAAGCTTCACAAAGGAAGGAAACAGAGAAGGTTCATCATGGTAAAACAACTATATCTCGAGAAATCATTCCTAGAGAATTCAGAGAAAAAAATTCTATATATTCTTGAATAATTAAACTTTGGATTTTGAAAATTCTAGACCAGAATGTACCCCCTTAAATCACTCGCCATAAGCCTACAATAGTTTAAGGGATTTATTTTGACTATCAACATCACTGTGCAGGGTTTCATCAAAATCCCAAACAAATAAATCTCAAGTTTTCACCTTGTTAGATAACAATTAAAGGCATAAAATATTATACATAAACTGTGTAGGTGAGTATATGATAAAAAATCAATAAGAAAACATGAACAACTCTTCAAAAAACATTAAGTTGAAAAATGAATACAATATGATGCAGGGAATCATTATATCTTTTTGTAAAGTAAAATAGTTTATTACTTACTTGCATAGGTAACTTGTCTGAACCAGGAATAGCTGGAAGACCAGTCATAAAATCGGCAGTGCAAAATGGTCTTAACACTATAGATCTTTGACATGATGGTGCTCTCACTGCAGGGTCCCGGTCAAAATGAACAGGTATTAGGACCACTGGCATTTGAGCAATACATCTCGCATAGCCAGAGGCTTGCAACACCTTTAAATTTCGATTCATTAAAATAGAATTCATACAATTTATATTACACATTGCCAAATTATTAAGGAAGATTTCAAGATTATGAACAAAATAACTATGCTTTATTTGTTCATTTTTCTCTTAATCATTGTCAGATAAAGACAAATATAAATGATATTTATGAAGTGTAAAATGTAACAATAAAATTACCTGTGTGGCTTTATCGTCTGCCTCTCTCAATGTACTGATAACATTTTTTGTTAAAAATGTTGTTGTGACATCTTGAACAGGATGTACAACAGACCCTCCAAATATATAGCAAACTCTGTTCACATTATGACATATACGGGGCATTAATTTAGCAAGAAATATCATATCATCCCAGTCAGGAGCACCATCGCTAGATAAACCAACTACATAGCTATAGCTCCTCCCATCACCTGACATAGAAAAATGTTCAATTTAAAATATTCAATATATTTGATAGAAAAACAAGTTTTCTTGATACGTAGATTAATTTTAGAAAGTTAATCGTAATGTGTAAGATAAAACTGAAATAAAATGCCGAAATAAATTACATAGTAACAATAAGAGTAAGATGTAAAAAAAATTTAATAAAGAGTCTACTAACTAGATAGGATTATCAGAATTCATTAATTCTTGAATTAAAACAAACTATTCATAAGGTTTATTTTTAAATAATATAAAATTTATATTTTTGTTTACCTTGAACACCAACACTTCTAATTGGTAAAAGAGTGGCTGATAATTTGATTTTACTTGATATTCGGATAAGTGCAGCCTGTTCATCTTTGCTAGTTGTTCCACTTACTCTATTCAGTAATGCATGATTCTTTTGGGTCATTTTGTCAAATTCAACTATTATTTTTATTATAACCTGAATGTTGTTTGATGTTAACTTTTGTTTGATGTTAAACATATTAATTTTATAGCACCTCATGTAATTATTTTACCTGTGTTTCAGAGAAATCTTTTTCAATGTAAGGTTCTTCAGCACATAATATTCTTATGGCTAAACCAGGTCCTGGAAAAGGGTGTCTCTCTACCAAACTAGCTGGAAGTCCTAAATCAATCCCTAGCATTCGCACTTCATCTTTATGAAAATCTTTTAATGGTTCTACAACACGGCCTGCTTCCCTTAGTTTTCTAAAATAAATTATATAAAACTTCTTTAGTTTAAAAGTTGTTAGTTTCAAGCAAAGTTCATACATAAAGTTCTGAAACAAAATTTAATTTACACTAATTATCAAATATATCAAAATAATAATTAAATAATCACAAGATAGAAATAAATAAACTCCAATAATAATATCAACAATTGTCTCAGTTTTGACTATGACAAATATTGTAAAATATTTTCGTTTTAAAATATTTTATATTTATTTTTCATGCTTTTCTCAGAGTTACGCATATTTCTTGAAAAATCTGCAAATTACAATAAAAACTTGTAAAGCTAGGGAAATGTTACTGAAAATCTAAATATGTATATTCAATGTAATATTCAAAATTATATCCCGATATATTATTCCTTTCATTAAAATAAAAATAGACATAGCCTTCTACAAATTTCATATTAGTCTAACAGGAGCCAATGATCTTCTGATTGATTGCTAAATATGTATGATGTGGTAATTAAAAACAAATATCATTCATAGAAAAAAAAAATGTATATAAAAAATATTTTACCTAATTAATTCTGTATCATTATGATGTGTTTTTATCGTCTCAGCTTTAGTACTAACTAAATTTGAAGCAGATTCTATTAAGTCAGGTCGAAGAGTACCTTGTCCAAAGAACACTTCTTCTGGCTTGAGATTTAATTCTTTCACTATTTCATTTGCAACTACCACAAATATATCACCAATTATTTTACGTTTCTCTTCAGGATTTGTCGACATAGATAACATTTTTGTATCACGCATTAATTGATTAGCTGTTCTAAATGTAGTATGTCCCTGATAAAATTGGTAAGAAGCATCTACTACCTTTAGATTTAGACCGAGATCTTTGAGAGACTTCTCTACTTTTGCGCTCTCATTTTTGCGCATAAAACCTGAAAAATATAATAATACTTCAAGTATTTCATAATACACAGTGAAATCATCAAGAAAATTCACTCAACTCTAAACAAATATTATTTAAAATAATACTGATGCTTGAAATCACAAATCTAAATGATTCCAAATTAAATTAGAATGGAAGAAGGGCAAGAAAATATACTGTGAATAGTTTTCATATATATATATATATATATATATATATATATATATATATATATATATATATATATATATCGTCATACAAAGCATACTGAAGAAAAACTATTTTAATATGTAAATATTTTACATGTTTCAGTAATTTAAAAGAAAAGTCTTAACTCAATGAACAACCTTGCAACACATAGCACACATCAAAACAAGCATCTATCGAACTATGTTCAGGAAAAATTTCACATAATGCCTAATTATATGAATATTATTTTTTTTACTATTTTTTAAAAATTTGGTATCTGACCCTTTCTACCCTATATACAGGGTAAAGTGGGACAACCAGGAGGCAAACAGATGCAATTTCTTCTATTAACTTTTAGAGGGATTTTATGCTACATTCTTGAACCAATGCAAAATATTAATTTTATGGGTACATTTGTTACAAAGATAACACAGTATATTACATTGCTCTGCTATTGGTCAGAAATATTCATTAGAAGAGCCGGAATAACAATTCATTTAATTAATCTTTTGTAAAATTGCTTTTTTTTAAACTTTACTATTTTATTGTTTACACCTTTGCCAAAGTAAAGATTCAGCTGGTCCTTTTTATCCCACTCATGTGCTGCTTATCTTCTGATAGCAAAGTCATAAGAATAAAGGTGATGACTGGTTACACATTTTTACATTTTTTGCCCTCTACTATCAAATATTATTGTTAAAAAAAAATCTAATTTTATTTGTTTATGAGATAACCGTGGTGGACCATTAATAATTGGTCTACCCTACCCATAAACATACAAATGTGTTTTTTTAATGTAAGTAATCAGTAATTTTTAGTTGATTTCTTTACATAATTTTATTGTAAAAACAGTCCCTGGTGCTATTGTGCACAAAAGACATAGCAATTGCTTTCGTAGTCTTGGCCACATCATGTAAAATCATGTCGGTCATTATAATTGAACATAATTTTTTGCAAAAATGGATCATTATAAGCGACATGTCAATGTAAGCAATGTCAATATATCCGACTAGACAGCTGTCTTTTTAAGGAATTTTATATGGAAACCAAACTTCCTAGTGCGATTGAGTCATAATAAGCGGTTGTCAATATATCCGGTGTCATACTAATCAGATTCTACTGTATGTATGTATGTATGTATGTATGTATATATATATATATATATATATATATATTAAATGTTAAATATTAACAATACAACACTCAGATTTTTACCACACACTTTACTTAATAATTACAGACGTTTCGAGACCATGGTGTGCCTCATCTTCAGTGTAATTTCAAAAACAGTTACTTATATACTACACATTTGTTAATATTTTTATTTAAATTTATTGTAATTGTAATAATAAAGTGTGTGTTAAAACTCTGAGTGTTGTATTATTCATATTTAACATTTAATATTTGATCCACTCATATCACTAATTATATATATATATATTAGGGTGGTCCTTAAAATAGTCATTTTCGAATTTCCTTGCTCCCAGGGGCGCAAATGGTTCCAAATAGATAAAAAACAATTCTCTGAAAATTTTAGCTCTTAATATTAACGTTTAGATAGAGCGCAATTCAATCAAAGTTTTGTATGGAAAGAGCATGGAAAATTTTTCAAAAATTTTAAAAATGTTTTTTAAATGTAATTTAGCGAACAAATGAATGAATAAAACTCATTCATTTATCACTAAGTTACACCTAAAACATTTTTTTTTAATTTTCAAAAATTTTTCCATGCTCTTTCCATACAAACTTTGATTGAATTGCGCTCTATCTAAACGTTAATATTAAGAGCTAAAACTTTCAGAGAATTGTTTTTTATCAACTTGGAACCATTTGAGCCCCTGGGAGCAAGGAAATTCGAAAATGACCATTTTAAGGACCACCCTAATATATATATTAGTGATGTGCCAAGTCGAATCAAGTGATTCGAATCATTCGAATCAAGCCTTTAACGACTTGATTCGAATCAGATTTTACTTGATTCGAATCAACTCGCATCAAGCCGCGAAATATTTACTGTGATAAAATATGTATTAACACAAATTTTTCATAAATATAAAATTTTTCATAAATATAAATATAAAAAAATGTTTTAATTTAATTCAATATTATAATAATATAAAAAATAAATATCATAAATATAAAAAATAAATAATGAATTAAATCATGAGAGCCACCCGACTTTAATATGCTTAAATGTATCAGCCAACTCCAATCGTCTTTGTGTGACTTTAACCGCATTCATCGACTAACTATATCATCCGACTTCATACGGCTCAAACCGAATCAAGCGGCGATATGAGTTATTCCGACTTCATGACTCAAACCGAATCAAGCGGCGATATGAGTTGTTCCGACTTCATATGAGCCAACTCGAATCAAGCAGCGATATGAGTTGTTCCGACTTCATATGAGCCAACTCGAATCAAGCGGCGTTACGAGTTATTCCGACTTCAATTCTGATTCGAATCATCCCGACTTCAAGCCGTTCGAGCGATATGAGTTCAAGCGATATGAGTTAACCGTATGGGCGATACAATGCGTCGTCGTTCTTGCGTGTTTATTTATTTTACGGAGCGCTGAGAGCGATTTTATTCGTGAAATATCAATACCCAATTTTGATAATAATTAAGTGTTTTAGATTTTAAATGTTATCAGAATAAACCACTCGAAATTATGAAACGAGTTTCGGGAATCTTTCAATATAATTCTCTTTTGAAACAATTACTAAACACCAGAAAGTCAGTAAATAATATGTTAACTTCTGATTATTGGCAAATTCACATTAATGAAATTAACTTTCAGCTCTCAGTTTAGATGCGATCCTTTACTGATTACATAGTAAAATAAACAATCGACCCATGATTCCAAATATTATTTTATATGCTTTAGTGATGCACAATTGTTTGGTAATCTATTATTGTAAATTAATTTGAAGATATGTTTTAGCCGTCCTCAAAATTACATCATTTTTAATAATTTTCAGAATATACTTTTTGATAGTGATTTATGTTTACAATTTCTACTTTGTCGGTTATATTGGTTAAACTGACAATTTTGATTATAAATTTGGATCACTTTTACTAAATTAATACATCCATCATTTTTTTTTGTCCATATATATACTTGATTCGAGTTGATTCGAATCATGATTCGAATCAGGTTTTTTTCTGATTCGAATCATTCGAATCGGGAATTTTTCGAGTCGGCACATCACTAATATATATATATATATGAGTGAGTTCTTGAGGGCGATACATCAAACAAAGAAAAGGCAAAGATTTATAAAATAATCTTTAATTCCAAACGTTTGGACATTCAATTTAATGTCATCATGTGTGCACACATGCCTCGGTACGCGCAAAGTACAGAAGTCGTGGCAGAAATTACATAATTCTACTTACATTTTTGTTTAAATAAAACTATCATTTTTCTGTTTACATCATACAAAAAATTATAAAAAATGCATGGTGTTGACAAGTTAGTTGTATAAATGTTAGTGCCAATCTCTAGTGTTGTGTACACTTCTCTAGATGTAACCTACCAACGTAATATCCACTGATCATGACATTAAATTGAATGTCGAAACGCTTGGAATTAAAGATTATTTTATAAATCTTTGCCTTTTCTTTGTTTGATGTATCGCTCTCAAGAACTCGCTCATATATTTCAACATCAAAATTAACTACTATATCTAATATATATATATATATATATATATATATATATATATATATATATATATATATATACACCTAAGTCTGTTTTTACACGGAGATTGGTTCCAGAAGAAGCCGTGTAAAAAAAAAACGTGTAAAAAAAGACATTGATCTTATACAAAAATGGGTGATTTGTCCTACTCTCTAAAACCTATTAAAATAAGTGAAAAACAAGAATTTTCAAGAACAATAATTTATGTTTATTTTAATAATAATTCCCCTAAATTAGTGCTCTTCACACTTGCTTTGACCAGTAAAAATTGTTCGTACGCGCTAAAGGGGAATTCACTTAAATCTTTAAGCTAGTGTTCGCAAACTATTGATACTATCAATGGTTTCAGACTTTTTTCTTTCATAAGTACTATTTTGTGATATGAACATACATCGCAAAAATTAAATTTGACAAAAAAATTTAAGTACATAAAATTTCAAATCGTGCTAAATGGAATAAAATCGTGTAAAAAAATTAAAAATATTCAATTTTCAAACCGTGTTATATCAAAACCGTGTACAAAAAGACCGTGTAAAAACAGACTTAGGTGTATATATATATGTCAATAAAATTCAAAGGCAAAAGTAATAAAAGTCTAAGAATTTAATAAAACATTTTAAATAATATGTACCATTATCTATATGAACTGCTATTATTTGCTCAGGATGCAAAGCATGCCTCAGAAGTGCAGCACATACTGTTGAATCCACACCACCACTTAAAAGAACCTGATAAATATTTTTATAAAATAAACCAAAAATTCATTTATGATAAATTGATCAAATAAAACATTATACTAAATATACTTACAAGAACTTTATTTGATCCAACAGTCTCTTTTATATATCTTATACAACCTTCCTTGCGAGATTCCATTGTGAATTTTTGCGTAAGACCAGCAATATCAAACAAAAAATTTGATAACATTTTTTTCCCATGCAATGTAAGATCAACCTGCAATAAATATTATTATATTATATTATTATTATTTAAGTCTATTTTCACTTGAACAAAATCAATTTATCTGCATAACATGTACGTTATTCAAATTACACTCTACATAAAAATTATAAAATAAAAAATGTACTTCCTAAAATTTCAATAAAACAATGGTGTTTAGTACATCCGAAAATAGAATAATTACTATTATTTTGTCAAAAAAATATATAAATATATAGTAGAAGTCCCTTATTCGTGGCCAAAAAATTGCTACCTAATTCCAACATTCGCTGTATATTCACTGTATATCAATCATAAATGCCATACACTTGACATACACTACTTGCCATTTTCTGAGATAGAACATCTTTTTTACATACTTCTAAGTGGTAAGTAAAGATTGGCATATATAGGATTTATATTTTCAATTTCTTGGATCTTTTTTTTTATATTTTATTTTTTTATAATTTGCAATTAATAATCACACCTAAATTTTCACACTTATTTTAGTTAGTATTTAAGTAATTTTAGTATTACTAATTTATTAATCTTTCATCCTGCTTTCAGTCAATAAACATTTTCCACTGAATCTTAATTCAGATTTTCATGATGATTTTCATGATTTATATGTGGCACGTTTTGCAGTTGGTAAACCATCCATATATTTTTTGATGGCTGTCTCTTTCACTTATTCACTATATATTTCCATTTGCTATCAGTTATTTTTATACTAAATAATTTCTAGAAATATTTTTATAGATAAAAAATTTTATAGATACTGTAAAGAGTAACTTTACACTGGTACATAATCCATTCCTTTATAATTTTTCTAAATAATCTGTAATGACCATCATTAATTAATGTTAATAGTTTTTAAAAAACATTGTCTTTGACAGAATAAACCTGATGATAGAACGTATCTAGTTCCAAAACGTCGTTATTAAACATCTTCAAAAAACAAATTGTTTTTTATTATTGGATTTACTGTTCGGAAAAGAAACAATCAATATATTGAAAAAATCCAGGACTTATCTATTGAATATATATATATATATATATATATCGAGTTTCGAACAAGAATCCAAAAAGTAATAAGAAACAAAAAAAGTTTTTGAATAAACTATTTCTTTATTTAATTACTGTCGACGTTTCAGAACTAGGTACGTTCCATCCAAGAAGATGGATTTTTTAATTAATAAAATAGTTGAAAAAATAATGTACAGAAATATGATAATATGAACAAAATGAAAATGATAAAAAATAAATGAGTGAATTATATAACAGGATATTAAAAATGATACAAAATTTAAAAGTTTCAAGAAAAAGTTAATGAAAAATATGAATTAATTACCTGTATGATTGAATATACGTTAGCACTTTTTCACTGAAAAAGATTTTATCAAAAAATGAATTTCTGAGTTTCTTTTTAGCCGAATAGACAAATTTTGTAAATCAAAATTTCTATATTATGTTTTTTTTAAGTTTATTTGAAACAAACAATATAATTCTCTCGATGTTACGAGATCGGCTGTTTGTAATGAACTGATTCAAGTGCGCTATTTGAAGACTGTAAGGATGTATGTGCGTGTGGTTTTTATATGTGAAGATGTAAATACTTAAATTATTGATCTTAAATGGAAGTCAATATTAATTGTTTGTCAAAAAGTGTAAAAAATTTTAATTGAATTGAAAATAAAAATTGCATCTTTAGGAGATTTTTTTGCGAAAAGTTGTCTTATTCTTATGAACGTTTCTAATAGTGTTAACATTAGATCAGATCACAACCTGTTACATGATTCTTATTTAATTTTTTTACACTTTTTGACAATCAATACACATTTAAATCAATAAGAATATATTATACAAAATTTACCTCAGGATGAAATTGCACACCATACAAACGCAGTTGCTTGTTGTAGATGGCAGCTACAATATTCGATTGTGATTTCGCAGCAACACAGAACTTTTCACCTACCCGATCCACACTGTCACCATGTGTAAGAAGAACTGATTGCACTTTATCTAATTGTCTATAAAAGTTAATGAAAATTAAATAATCAATATAAAAGTATTAATTATAGTTCTTGTTTAATTTTACCATTCTATACAATTCAAAACTTTGTGTATATTTTGCAATGATACATTTATGAAAATAATATTGAAATTCCAAATTCATTAATAATGTCATATTATAAATAACAAAATATTGACAGATGTATGAGATGATATATAGATGTACATAAACACAATATATAAAACAATATACATTCATTCATATATTGAGAATAAGAAAAAAAGGGTTCACCCACACACACACACACACACAAATATATATATATATATATATATATATATATATATATATATAATATTTTGATTCACAAAATAGCACAAAGTAAAAAAAAACTAAACCAATTACAAACTAAGCTTTATTTTATCCATATGTTCCGGCCTATGTCAAGACCGTCATTCAGTAGATCCAGAGTTTTATAATTAAAAAAAAAAGAATAGTTATAAAATTAAAGGACTTATAAAAAAATATTTTCAAATAATTATTAACGCATAAATACACTACATTATTACACAATTGTAAATTCAGGCCATTTAATTGCATTCGAATGTTTGAGCCCATAAATTGAGGTAAGTTGAAACTTACTATTCATTAATATACTATTATTTCTATAACTTCATATTACATTATAACTCCACAATCTTATATTTTGAAAAGAATGTATTTAAAAGGAGATTTAGTAAAGGATGCCTAATATTGTTATGCAAATTAACAATACAATAGCAATTCGCTCTTCAATGACTACAGAATATTCCTTAGTCAATACTTTTCCAAACCATATGTTTGTTTTATCAGTTCATACATTTTTAGAAAAATGTCTTTGTAAACAATTCATTCAGTCAAGCTTCAATAACTATGTACATTAATGTCGTTTCAACTTATCTCAAAATTTATAGTGAGAAATGTTCGAATTATTGATTGTCAGGAATTTTATTTCTGCAATAGTGTAGTATATTTATGTGTTAACGATTATCTGTGAATATGTATCAGTAATACCTATAATTGCATAGCAATTTTTTTGACTGAATGACAATCTTGACCTAGGCCGAAACTTATGAACAAATAAAGCTAAATTCATAATTGTCAACACCATGATTTTTTTATAATTTTTTCTATGATGTAAACAGAAAAATGATAGTTTTATTTGAACAAAAATGTGAATAAAGTTAAGTAATTTCTGCCAACGACTTCTGTACTGCGCGTGTTTCGAGGCTTATAAGCCTCGGAACACACACAGTACAGAAGTCGTTGGCAGAAATTACTTACGGTGTTGACAAGTTAGTTGTATAAATGTTAGTGCTAAATTTTAGTGTCGTGTACAGTTCTCTAGATGTAACCTACCAACGTTAATATCCACTGATGATGACATTAAATTGAATGTCAAAACGTTTGGAATTAAAGATTAATTTATAAATCTTTGCTTTTTATTCTTTGATGTATCGCCCCACAAGAACTTACTCATATATCTCAACATCAAAATTAACAATTAAATCATATATATATATATATATATATATACATATATATATATATATATATATATATATATATATATATAAGCAACATAACATATGAAAATCAAAGATCTTTATAATAATATAAACTGAAACTTAAAATTCGAAATTTGAATCAAGTCATAAAGTATAGTTACTTCTGTTACATGTCAATCAAGTTACAGTTACTTTTTTTTCCATTACATAATCATTTAGATGTTTTTGTTAATAAATTGAAAACCAAATAATCTGAATAATGTCAAGAAATATTAACCTGTGAAAATATATTTATTCCTATCAGAAATATTAGAAAATAATAGGGTTACATTATAAACAAGAAACTAGAAAAATAGGAACCAAAAAAGTATATAACATTGAATACACTGATCCTAAGAATGTTGATTTATGATAATAAATCATTTTATAGATTTACAATATGATAACCAGCAAATATGTAAATGATGAAAGACATTTTTAGAAATGAAATGTAAGAAAATTAACGTTAAGTTTTTAAATTGGAGTTCAGTGTCTCAGATATCTGAGGCAATATGTAATCAAAATAATTTTATTTACATTTTTATAAGAAATAATTCATACCAAAGTTATTAATATTTAAACTTTTATCAAATAAAATCTATAAGATATTAGTGAAATGTGTTACATTCTAATGCTCTATTAAAATAAATAAATTGATATATAATTTAACACACAATACAAATTTTAGATACAATACATACGTAAATAAAGGGCAGCCTTGTTCAACTTCAATATCATATTGTCCGTCTTCCCTGACATCTTTACGTTGAACAGTTCCACCAAATTCTTTGTTTAACATTTGCATACCATAACATATTCCTAAGAACCAAGATACGTTTTAATTCCATACGCTGTTTTAATAATTATATTTCAATATTACACAATAACTAACCTAGACAATAAAAAATAAAAAAAAAAAACTAACCTAGTACTGGGATACCAATCTTAAATATGTCAGAATCATATTTTGGTGCATCTTGAGCATAAACAGAACTTGGACCACCAGATATAATAATTGCCTTGTAACCTGATTCTTTTATAGTTAGTGCAGGTGTATCAAGTGGTAGAATATCTGATTGTACACATAATTCACGAACTCTTCTATCAATAACCTGATTTAAATATCAATGTTATCAATTTGAAATTACAATTTAAATATATGTATGCTATATAGAAGCATTCTAATATTAGTTAGCATATTAAGAAACCATTCAGAAAAATATACTTCATAAAATATTTGTTATATTACAGAATTATAATAACATATGAGATAACTCATTTGCATTGTAGTTGAAACTAAATACATAATGAACCCATTTCAATATTAAAATAAAGTACATATTACTTTCAATTACATGAAATTTATTCAATCTAAAACTATGTATATATGATTGAGTGGGTGTATTTATATAAATACTTGATTGTAAAAAATCAAGATATTTTATGTTATATAAGCTGAGACTACCTTTCCATACTGTGCACCAGCATCCAAAATAGCCACACGATCCATTTTATGTCCCTCTAAATATGATCCTTCTGGACTACTTATGTGCATAGCAAATTTTGTTTACAATACCTAAAAATCAAATTAAAGATCTGATATCATCGCTTCATTGTTTACAAATTTGAATTTAACTTTTGCTGATTTGTCATGTTTCTAAAACTGTAATTAACCGTAAAAACTATAAATGTACTTTTATATAATCAATAGATGTTTCTAAATTCATTCTCATAATATAAAAAATAGAGCTTATGATGCCTCAGTTTTTGATGTAAAAAAGTAATTATTTTAATGTTTAACAATCAACACGTTCATAAATTTATATATGAAATTTTTGTTATATTGATGCAAAATAAATATAAGAGTTGGGAAGAAGATTTTTGGTCCTAAAAATAAGAGTTATAATTTGTAAAATTGTACAAATTGTAACAAAAGAACGAATATAGGTTAGGTAATATAGAAGAAGCCGCCTTAGAACTAAACTCGACATTAAAATTAATATAGCACTTGTAACACCAGACATAACATTTTTCACAAATAATAACAGAAAAAACTTCTAGTATCAGCATTCATAAGCAACTTAAAAGCCTCTACAATACATCATATAAAATAATATCCATTTATTGCAACACATACCAAAACTTGAACGGCTTGCTTATGTCAATTACATGTAAATCACAGTGACTTTGGTTAAAAAAAACTACCAGTAAAAAGTATGATACATTATACATAAATTACAAAATTGGAAACACCTATGTGAACGAAGTAGTAGTGTTCGTACCATTGAGTTCCAACTCGTGGTTCATGTTCATGTCGCTTAAATTAAATGTCTGACGGAATGCGACCGACTGAAGCGTTTATGTCGACAGTTATGCAAAATAAACTATTTATTGAAGAAATAAAGTATAATCAAACTAATTTTATAATCAATTAGCAATATATTATATATAATACATATGCATATGTAATCCAATGATTAAATATTAATTGTGTATTATTAATGTTTGTATTTCAATTCGAGCAATCGATCACTTGACCATCTCTTGGCAAACCGGCAAACGAATGCTTTTCACGTTTTCAGTTCTCACTGGCAGGCATTGAATGAATTCGCGCGCGCCTAGTTTTTGTTTAAAATATTTTATTGCTAACTACAAATTGAACTAGTGGTGTATGGCATCGAGCCTTAACGCAAATTGCTGGAACTTCCCGTACCAAAAATTTTTTTTTTTAAAATGATTAACATTTTTGAAAAAAAAAAATACTCTGAAAAAATTAGATTCTTGAGAAACTATAAATTTTTGACAAAAACTTACTTTTTTGAAAAAAAACACTTTTTGAAGAAAAAATTATTTTGAAATATTTTGGAAATTCTGAACTTTTTTTCAATGCAGTCGTACTGCTTTTACTGCATAGAGACGAAATGTCAAAGCGCGTAAGCGCCGCGTCACCCTCTATCAGATAAACATTGGTACGGAACCCATAGAAATGTAAACAAAATTTATACTTATTGTTAAAATCTCTATAAAATATCTGATAATTTGATGTGCATATGTCTAATGATCATTTTTGACCGCCAAATGGCATTTTTTTTTACTTTTTTTTACTAGATCTCCGAAACCACTAGACTTACATCATGAAAATTTGATCAGTTCTCCATCTTGTTAATACAAGTAAAATGGTTTTTGAATTATTCAAATCGGACGCTTCGTTCTCTTAAAAACTGAGTTACCGTTTTTGGCACTTTTTGCCCCATATCTTCGGAACGGCTAGACCTGCGTTTGCCAAAAACTAATCAGCACGTCTCCTTTTCAATACGAATCGAATGTTTTTTGGATTACTCAAATCGCTTCATCCGTGTTCCCGAAATCGTCGACGAAAATTTGTATCCGAACACACACACACACACACACACATATACACACACACATACATCAATTTTTTCTAAGGTATGCCAAAATGTTCAGAAGGTTTTGAAACATAAAGATATATAAAAATTTTCATTTTCGATTTTTTTGCGATTACTATAACTTGCCCTACGGGAAGTTAAAAATCATTTACTTAAAGTATATAAGTGAGCTTTAGTTAACCAGAATTAAAATTGAATTATTTTCGGTATTCAAAAAAAAAATTGAAATGATTTTTTTTTCAAAAGCAATCATTTCGTCAACACAAACAGAATTTTTTTTGAATCATTCAAATCGGATGCTTATTTCTCTCAAAAAGTGACATTGTTTGTACATTTAGCTCTGTATCTTCTGTATGGCTGGACCTGCCTTTGCCAAAAACTAATTACCACTTCTCCCAATCATTTTAAATTGTATATTTTAGATCTTTCAAATCGGATACTCCGTTCTCTCAAAAACTCGATTTCATTTTTTTGCATTCTTTACTCTTTATCTCCGTAACGGCTGGATCTGCCATTGCCAAAAACTAATCAGCCATCTCCCTATCAATAGGAATCGAATGTTTTTGAACGATTCAAATCGGTTGATCCGTGCGCCCGAAAACGTAATCAAAATACGCGGACACACAAAACACACACACATCCATTTTTTTTGAGGTATGCGAAAATGTTCAGAAACCTTCAAAACGTGGAGAAATGCAAAAATTTTCATTTTCTACTTTCGGCCCATTACTATAATTACGGGAAGTTTAAAAATAATATAGTGCGTTTCGAAGAAACATGGATCTATCAAATAGTTTTTATATTTTTAAAATTGTGATAAATACTGCTAAAATCGAAGGGTTTTAACTGATATCATTCAAACTAGTAGTGAATGGCATCGTGCCTTAAGGCAAATTTCTGGAATTACCCGTACTGATAATTAAATTTTTTAAAAAAGCTTTAAAATTTTTTGAAAATTTTGAAATAATGTAATTTTTGACCTTTTTTTCAGAGCAATCGTGCTGCGTGGCTACTTTAGAGAATAAATATAATGCGTGAGCGCTCTGTCGCGGTCTAAAGAATAAACACTGATACGGAACCCGTATTATTAAAATCTCTAAGAAATATCAGATAAATTGATGTTCATAAATCTAATGAACATTTTTGACCGCCAAATAGCATTTTTTTTTTTTTAATTTTTTTACTCAATCTCCGAAACCGCTAGACGTGCCTTACCGAAAATTTTATCAGGTTTTCATTTTGTCAGTTCAAGTAACATGTTTTTTGAATTATCAAAATCGGTCGCTCCATTCTCTCAAAAACTGTATTACCATTTTTGGCACTTTTTGTTCCTTATCTTTGAAATAGCTAGACTTGCCTTGGCCTTACTACTCTCCTTATCAATAGGAATCGAATGTATTTTAAATCATTGAAATCGATTGAACCGTGTTTTAGAAATCGCCAAAGAAAATTTGTATCCGCACATACACACACACATTTTGATTTTTTTGCAATTACTTACCCTACGGAAAGTTAATAAACAAAATTCTTGAAATCGCATTAGAATGTTATCATTGAATATTTTTGGAAAAATTAAAATAGTTATTTGCGAAGAAACTGCCAGACCGATTTACCAAAAACCAATAAGCAATTATCAACTGACATTTTTAACTCTCAAACTTTTATGCAAATGACGGTAAAGTTTCATTTAACTTTAATATTGGACTTTCCCGTGTCTTGTAGTAAGAGCTTTGGTCTTCCATACAAGGTACCAGGTTTGATATCCACCTCGGGTACCCTGATATAAAGCAGAAATAATATAGGTCTGCTTTTCAAAGTTTTGTACGCAGTTTTACACACACATATACATATTTATACACGTATGCATAGAATTGTATATGGTGTAACAATTTATGCTATAAATGTTAATAATTTTAATCACTTTGTACTTATCTGCATAATATGTTGTGCTCGAAACGATTTATGAATCTGATTTATAATGATTGACTTATTAGGCAATATTGTTATCTCACTCGCTGTAACGTTGCCATAAATAGCAAAATTTAAACTATTGCGATTGCAGGTCAAACATGCTTTCGGTTGCGTAAAACACGTCAACTATAAACATCAGCCATATATTTGCCGTATTGATGCTTATTAATTAGTGGGGCATAGTATCGTGTCTTAAGGAAAATTGCTAGAACTTTCCGTACCAAAAATATTTTTTTTAAAAAAGGTTCAAAATTTTTTTAAAACTTTGAAAAAATTAGATCTTTGAGAATTTTGAACTTTTTTTTAAAACGATCGCGCTGCGTTACTGCGTAGAGCCAAATATGTAAGCGCCGCGTCCTAGTTTAGCGGATAAACATTGGTACGGAACCCCTAGAAATATGTATAAACAAAATTTGTACTTATTATTAAAATCTCTATAATATATCTGATAATTTGATGTGCACATGTCTAATGATCATTTTTTTGCCGTTAAATTGTATTTTTTTTACTCTTTTATTTAATTTTATCAGCTCTGCATTTTATCAATACAAATAAAATGTTTTTTGAATCATTAAAATCGGACACTTCGTTACCTCAAAAACTGAAATCCCATTTTTGGAACTTTTCATCCCGTATCTTCGAAACGGCTGGACCTGGACCTGTCATACATACATCCACACACACATACATACCTTTTTTCTAAGGTATGCCAAAATGTTCAGAAACTTTTGAAACGTAAAGATATATAAACATTTTCGTTTTCAATTTTTTTGCGAATACATACTATAACTTACCGAACCTACGAAAAGTTAATAAAAACTCATTCCAGAAATTATTCGTTGTGCATTAAAAATAAAATAGTACCATGCAAATTTATTTATCATTAACACTTATTTATCACATTAAAAAATATTTTATGATAATGATTTCTAATTTTTTATTAGGTATTTTCCTGAAATTGTTATTCGATGTTTCAGATTAAAATTTACTATCTTCAGTATATGATATTACAAAAGATAATTTATACAAGCCCAATTAATAAAATTACATTGAAATAACAATATTATTACACAATATTAAATTAACAATATTATACATAACACTAGTGCAGCAAATAGTTAATCGTTTGAAAATCACACATGTCATGATTTGTAAATTATATCATTAACCATATCAGTATCAGTAGTTGTTTTAATAATTGGCATGCAGTAAAATAATATTTGCATTACAGTTCACAGGGTTGTGATATATATAAGTTTTGCAGGGTTTATACAGTGGCTAATTAATTTTAGTTTTTACACTAAAATTGTCTAGCCAAGTTAAGTTGAAAATTATCGAAACAGCTTTTATTATATTCATGAATATACCTTTGCTTGCTCTATATTTTTTCTAACTCTTCTTCTATAACTATGATCCCTATTGTATTTCTCATGATAAATAGATGAATAGATTATTATAGATCTTCTCTAGATTAATTGATAAATATGTCTTGTCTATATGAAAATAACTAATAATGTGAAAATATAAATCCGATTAAAAACGAAACAGAAGCATTTTATGTAAAATATTGAAATAATCAGAATGTACAACAAACATTATGTGCTCAATATATGATTTTTAACTAAAAGTATCATTTTGGCAGGCGTTAAAAAGGTTGATGTATCTATGTATAAATGTGTCTATGCCAGAATCTGTTACATTTTCTTGAAAACGAATTGACTAAATCGAATTATTCAAAAATATCCAATTTGTAGTTTACAGAAGCAGGTCCAGCCGTTCCAGAGATTTACAAGAAAAAGTGCTATAAATTCGATTTTTTAACCAAAAATAAATTATTCTCATATGCTGATCAATTTATCGAATATTTTTAGAGATTTTTGTAGTACTAAAATTTAGGGTTTATACCAATAAATATGAATTCTTTAAATACTGATAAGATTACTGTCGAAGATTAATAATACATGAAATTTTTAGTGGTTAAGAAATTGAAAAAGTCGGTATTGTACATAAGCTAAAAAAATAAAAAAAAGATTTTACAATGTATTTAAGTAGCAATAGAGTTTTGCACGATGATTACAGTTTTTTTTAGCTTAGTGTTTCA